TGTGTGTGTGTGTGTGTGTGTGTGTGTGTGTGTGTGTGTGTATATGTGTGCAACTCAGACCTTTCTTTCCCATGCAAGTCTCGCAGTAAAGAAGAAGGGAGGAGTCAGAAACTCTCTTGCCTTTCTAAAGCTTTCATCAGCATCATATCAGTGAACATTCCTTTGAAACAAATACATGTTGTTTTTATCCATCTTTTAAAAAACAAGAGTATAAAGTGTCCAAATAACTCTTTATCCTTAAACATTTTATAAAATCATCTTCATTAAAAACATTTAGATGACTTTGTCTTTGATAATAACTAGATTAGTTTTTGATATACCTTAAAAATATATTGATAATAACTATGATTTGGTTTTACATATATGCTTTTTTATTGAATTTTTCTAGGAATTTTCCATAAAGCAACTATATAATATGATAATATTTGTTAATTCTTCTATTTCACAAACTTTTTTTTGTAATTTAGGCACAGATCTAGAGACTGGAATCACAGAAACAGGTTAGGGAGACACCTAAACATCAGTAAATATGCTTTGTGGAGACAAATGTGTTAGACAATTGGTCTAAAAAGCCCAAACTGACAGTGCCTAGGAGACTAAGGCAGAAAGCAAAGGCTGACTTGAGCCCTTCAAGTTGAAAGGGAATGGAAAGAATCCCAAGCAGAGAAGCAGTGTGTTAGGAAGGATGCAGGCCAAGATGACAGTGTGGCCCCACTGTGGCCGGCAGACACGGGAGAAATGCTGAAGACTCAGCAGCCTAGCAAACCCCAAAGGTGCCTGTCCCATTCAGCTGGCAACAAGAGCCCCTGGTGCTCTCCGGCACCAGCTCCATGACCGGGTAGTTTGATGAAGTGTTCCTCTGGAAGAATCTCAGAGAAGTGCTGAGAGGTCCAAGACTAAAAGCTGATTCAACCAATCACGTAAAAGATGATCAAATCCCAGACTCAATAAGGTGCTGGGAGAATGGGAGAAATGCCTTAGCTCAGAGAGATTGTTTGAGAAATCCATCAGTGGTGTTTGGATCTCCTACGGCCAACTGGTGACTAACAGATGAAGACTCAAGAAATTCTGAGTGGTTTCTATTTTGGGGATTGGAGTTAGTAGGGACTCTTTGAGGCTGATGCAGTATTTTGATGCAATGATGAAGGCTGTGGCTGGGAAAAGAGGAAATAAGTATGTTTAGTTAGAGGGAATCCCTGGTGAGGTAGTGGAGAATCATAAAGGGTAACAAGTACGCAAGATACCCAAGCCTCTGCACTCTACACTGGGCTTCCTGTGGGCCTTGGGGCTGTGGAAACCACTGAGCTAACCTTCCTGGCCTCCTCCAGTGTTCTTTTATCACAATACATGGGCACATGTGGGTACTCATGTGTCCTTCCCAATACCATCTAGATAGCTTGGTGACTTTTTAGCAGTCTCAGAGATATACTGAGGGGAATGAGACTTCTGCTGTGAGTACTGCAAAGTACCTATGTAATATAAAATTATAATTTGACTCACTTAGGAACTCCTAAAACAGCCTTCTTTTCTTCTCATTCCCTCACCTGAAGATGTTACATAAGATTCACTGGAATGGGGCTGGAGAGATGGCTCAGAGGTTAAGAGCACTGGCTGTTCTTCCAGAGGTCCTGAGTTCAATTCCCAGAAACCACATGGTGGCTCACAACCATCTGTAATGGGATCTGGTGCCCTCTTCTGGCCTGCAGGTGTACATGCAGGCAGAACACTGTACACATAATAAATAAATCTTAAAAAAAAAAAAAGAAAAAAAAAAAAGATTCACTGGAATGATAGGCTTCTGAAGACCAACTTTAATTATGATCAATTACTATCATGTGTTAAATAGATCAGAGGATCAAAAGCATAGCTCTGTAGTCAGAGAAAAAAATGGGGAGGAGACGAGTGATGCTCAGAGACATACAGTGAGGCCTGAGAGACCCAAGTGTGGCTGATATTAGGAAGAAGATCTCTGAAGGTCAGGTAGAATTGCCCTGCCAAATATGTCCATGAGTGTTGAATGCACATTTCCACATTGAACACTATGTCAGCTTCTAAAGTCTCAATTTTTAGCTCACACAAATCACCACCAAGTTGGACTATTATATCATGTGAAAGTACTCAGTGTGTTTACTCTGTGTTTCCTAATTTCATATCTTCTTCCTTCATTTTCCCCAAACCTTCTCAGAGTGCCTACCGGGTATTTACAAGTAGCACTTGCTTGAAGCACATGATTTTGAAAGTCCGAAGAGATGCTCGCAATTTTGAACGCTACCAACATAACCGGGACCTGGTGAATTTCATCAACATGTTTGCAGACACAAGACTGGAACTGCCGCGGGGTTGGGAGATCAAAACTGATCATCAGGGAAAGGTGAGAATAATCAACGTGTGGGGCTTTCACCAAATGCTCTGGTTTACCAATGCAGATGTGGAAGAAAATGAAAGATTATGGAGAAGGGAGCTTATGTATCTCAGAGATGTAATATTGGCCCCAGGGAAGAAAGAAGGTAGTGATTGTCCACATCCGGTTTCTTACTCATTCCACGTTCATGAATACTGCATTATGAGATATTTAACTTCTTAGCTTCTTCCTTCGAGAAGCCAAATTGTGCCATTGCTGTCTAAGGGAATAACATACTGCTTGGTTGAGGAATGCTATCCACTTTACGTCTTTAAATTTTCCACTAAGTACTTTTGTTCAATGGCCTATGTCTTAGTTACTTTACTATGACCAAGACAACTTATAAAAAGAAGGTGTTTAATATGGGGCTTATGGTTTCAGAGGATTAGAGCCCAGGATTGTCATAGCAGGAAACATGGTAGCATGGTGCTGAAGCAGTAGTTGCAAGTTCACATCCTGAAATAAGATAAACACTGGGAATTGCATAAGTCTTTTGAAACCTCAAAGCCCACCCCCAATAACACACCTCCTCCAACAAGGCCACACTTCCTAATATTTCTGTCCTTGACACTGTTCTACCGCTGTGAAGACACCATGACCAAGGCAACTCATATAAAAGGAAGCATTTAATTGATGGCTTGTTTACACTTTTAGGGTCTTAGTCTATTATCATCATAGTGGGGAGCATTGCAGCGGGAAGCATGGAGGCAGGCAGGCACAAGTGCTGGAGAAGTAGCTAAGAGTTACATCCTGATCTGAGGGAGACACTGGGTTTGGCATGGGCTTTTGAAACCTCAAAGCCCACCCCCAGTGACACACTTTCTCCAACAAGGCCACACCTACTCCAACAAGACAATACCTCCTAGTCCTCCTAATCCTTCCATGGATCCAGACAAAGGACTCTCAGCTACCTCTCCAGCCCCATATCTCCCTGCCCACCACCATGCATATCAAGTTGCAGTAAGACTAGGCACCTCCTCTCCTATTAAGGCTCGACAAAGCAACTCAGTAGCAAAACAAAACACAACAAAACCTTTGGAATACAATGAAAGCAGTCCTGTGAGGGAAATTTATAGCTCTACATGCCTACATTAAAAAGTCAGAAAGAGCACAAATAAACAACTTAATGATACAACTAAAAAAAAAAATAGAAAAACAAGAACAAACCAGACCCAAACACAGTCAACTATAAAAACTAATAAAAATCAGAGCACATATTAATGAAAAAGAAACAAAGAAAACAGGATAAAGAATCAATGAATATGAGAAATGGTCCTTTGAGAAGATAAACAAGATGGACAGACTCTGGACCCAACTAACCAGAAGAAAGAGAGGACCCAGTTTAACAGAACCAGAAATTATCAAGGAAGCATTACAGCAGACATGAAGAAATTCAGAAATTAAGCCAGGCGGTGGTGGTGCACGCCTTTAATCCCAGCACTTGGGAGGCAGAGGCAGGCGAATCTCTGTGAGTTCGAGGCCAGCCTGGGCTACAGAGAGAGAGCCAGGAAAAGCACAAAGGTACACAGAGAAACCCTGTCTCAAAAAACCAAGCCAAAACAAAAAAAGAAATTCAGAAATTAGAAAATTAGAAATTAGAAAACCAAGAATAAACCAAGCCCCAAAGCAGGGGACCAGAAAAAAATAATTAAAACCAGGGCAGAAATTAAAAACAAACAAGAAATTACAAAGAAGCAATGGAAGGAAGAGTAAGTTCTTGGAAAAAATAAACAAAACTGACAAACCTTTAGCCAAATTGTCCAAAAGAAAGTGTGCTTAACAGATACCAATGAAAATCATAAAAATCATAAGTATATACTCTAAAAACCTATATGCCACTAAAATGGAAAATCTAAAATAAATGGATGAATTTCTAGATGCAAGTAACATACAAAAACCAAGGTGGAATAAGTAGTTTAAAAATCTATAACTAGCAATGAGATTGAAAAATTATTTTAAAACAGAAAAGAAAAAGAAAGAAAAAAGAAAAAGAAAAAATAGCAAAAAAAAAAACAGGCTCTTATCTACAAAAAGAGTCTACAGGAAAACTTTTTATTTGACTTTTCATAGGGCTCTTCAAAAGGCTTATTTAAAGTTGGGCGATGGTGGTGCACGCCTTTAATCCCAGCACTCAAGAGGCAGAGGTAGGCGGATCTCTGTGAGCTCGAGGCCAGACTATGTAGACAAATTTCTGAATGGTTTTATTAAATAAAAAACACAGAGCCAAATATAGAGGTGAAAGCCATCAGCCAACCTTACCTCACCAGCTCTGCAGCTTCCAAATGCAAATGCAAAGCTATCTACTTCCTGTCTACCCACGCCTTTATATGCCTTG